GATTTTGTGTGTGAAAATGAGATTTTGAATGAGGGTGAGTTCTACTATTACTCAGTGAAGTTTAGTTTGTTTTATGTTTTACATTACTCATTTTTATTTTGCATAAATGATTCGATGTTTAACTTGATTATTTCATGAGAGCTGGTCAGTACACAGTGATTATTTTATTTTATGATCTCATACCCTAAACTGTGTTCACAAAATGTGTTCATTACTGTGAAGGGAGAATGTTAAATAATACAGTGATTCACTTCAAAATACACACAAATTGATTGAGTGACAATAATGAACAACACAATGTAATTGGTTAGGCGGAAATTATCTACTCTTCAATCTGTTCAAAACTACCATAAAAATGATATTTCATCAATACGACACTGATTGATAGATTGATCGAATCTGGCTGATCACAGATGCAACAATAAGCGATGTTGTGTGAGAAATCAGTTTGAATTATTGAAGCACATGAACCATCAATAATTTATATTTGATGTCCTCCAAATCTTTCTGTCACTTACTTGGTTCTTATAAATTCAGTCCCTCTTATTCACTGTCGTTGAACTATTGGATATTAAACACATTCTTATTTATCATAATCGGTTGATCATGAAGTTTGAACTCATGTACCATCTCAAACATCAAATCAGCTAACAATCACGAATAATCTGCTAGTACAACATGATTGATTCGAACTAGAACACCTAGAATATCAAGATGGAGGGTATTCATTTTATTCACTTACCGAAATTAATGTCATCGGGGTAACATTTCCGGGCAATAATGAGTTCAGTTAAGAGAATACTGTTCAATTGGAATTACAGAATTTCACAAAATGATTTTGGATGTTGATTGTCGAATAGATAATAACGGTTGTTTAATTAGTCAAATGCTTGCAAGCCCAACATTTCAGAAGTATAATATTTCTCTTAGTTGATTGGATTTAAACGTTCATCATATCGGTGAAATAATCATTGAGACTCTCATTGAGTTGAATTGGTTCACTTCAATCTTGAAGAGGAACATCATAACTTGTGTACAAACACTTTTTTTTATTGAAAGAGGTCATTGTTCATTTTACAGATACATGAACGCAAATTTATTTTACTTTCATTATTTCAGAGGAATATTTTGCTGTCAGAAGATCTTATCATGGAAACATTGATAATAAAAGTATGTATCCACATCCATGATTGTTTGATCACATGTTAACTATGAACACTTTACATCATCATCATCATCATTGAATGATATTACTCAACTGTTTTCTATTCCGTTTGAGTAATTGAATTCGTCTTAAAAAAACTGACGAAAGTATTACAGGGTAACTATTGTACAAAATCAAAGGCTAAATAGTCATATAATCCAAAGATTGTCCATACATATTTTATTGAAACTTAAAGAATAATTAACATACGTTTGGATACATTAGGTCATATTCTCATTTTATTTGTACATAAACGAATACAGTGATTCATCTTCATTGACAGGTTTCAAAGGAACATGATGACAAGTCTGTACATATGTGTTCATCGGAAAATCATTTCTGTATACATCACATTCATCTGCATATTCAATCATTATGCGATCATTCTCAGTTTTTATTCATTGAAATTAAGCGATCGTAAAAACAATATGTATTAAGCATATTCATTTCTCCTCTTTAACACATAATGTGGACAAAGTCATTTGATCGACTGATATATCAATGTGTTACGTAACTAAATAAATTCTAAAACTCGAATTATAAATAAACAAACAAACCGCAGCTCATCTCATTTGCACCTAGAGTCAATTTTATCAGTTGAAATTTAAGAAATATTCCACCAATTTGAATATCACTCCAACTATCAGATCTAATTAGGAACTAGATGATGTATTGTTTGAATATGAAAACTAAACAAACTAAGCATCTGACATTCATGATGAAGGATACATGCTTATTTCATCTACACAACATTCACGAGATTATTTTCATCACGAAAACATTTGAGATAACACAGTAAATATCTGCTAAAATCTGATCCCCCTGTGTGTGTAGGCACATACAATGTCACACCTGGCAATGACATGCTCGACACTAATCCTTGAAATTTTAAATATCGATAGTTTTCTTTTTTGCAGGTTATGCATTGAAGACAATGCACCTGATACACTCGAATGGGAAGATATATTTCTATTATGAGGACGTAAGTTGAGCACATGAATAGATTATTCATGCATAACAATATTGTCAAAAAAAAAAGAATAAAAGGACACCAACTGTTGAGAAACGAATGACACTTGATATAAGTGAGCACATAAACACAATTTTACAAAAGAACAACAAATTCACCTTCAGCGACATTGCAGTTATTCACAATCATACTTCTCCCAACGGACGTAGATATTCATCTTATTATGTATAGCCTCATTCCATGATAAATAGATCGTTCACCTTACTTCATTGAAGTTGTCAACTGAGGTGAGTCAGAATATCTTAGTAAATTAGATGGAGTATATTTCTTAGGGAGCCGAGGAGATCAGCATGCTTACTGTAAGTGTATTTAGTTGTCATCGAATAAGATAATATGAATGACGACACATTGCTTCAATGTTTGGTTGATTTTGATATAGGTGGTTGTGTATTAACGAATCTTGACTCAGACTTCCATCACTTCTTTTCAGATTCCTAGAGGACTTAATAGAGACGTTGTTATATCGAGGATTTATTATTATATCTCGTGTGGAAGAAACGGTAACAAATTTTGTTTACCTTCTAATTTTCATTGAATTACATGATCATTCATTTGTTAGCTTGATTTCACCTTCTGTTTGTACACGATCATCACTATGTCAACGTGCAAGTTTTCTGTAATTTATAATGGTGATCGAATTTGTGTTTCTTACAGTCCACAATATACAGTTGGTATTTGTTTTTACAATCAAGCGATGGAAGTGTCGTTGAAGTTCTGAGGAAAATTGTGTGAAATGGAATCTGAATAATTTAGGCAAACTCACTGTCCTAATGTTACTGTGTATTGAAAATTCAACGTCAATTTGGTGTTTGGAACTCTTGAATCAACATTCAAGTGTCACATGTAATAAAAATTCATAATCGAAATTCATCCGGAAAATATTTTGTCTTTCGAATTGATAACAAAATATCCATATCCTCAATTCAACAACCGTCATCCTCGTTCATATAGCAAAGCAGATTTGAGTTGTTGTGATTCAATCGAAATTGTATTGTTTGTGCTAAGCTCCATCAAAGTGAATTTCAAGATCCACGTCATCTGACGCTTGCCTTACTTGGTAAACTGAGTAATAGAACTAAGATGTGTGAATGTCTTCATCACGAATTTGCAGATAGATATTTGGTGAAGTCTTCTGTATAGTCTTAACGATCCACACAGGAATAAATGAACGAGGATACTAGACAGACGATATATCTACTCATTTATTCACTCATCCACTAATGGACAGTCAAACCAGCAGCCTCTCACTATTGACTATTTCTGAAAAAATTTGTAACGAGATAAACATATTATTTCTGTAGATGTTGCACTGACATTTTAGTGATACAAATCAGGAATTTGACCATATCATTTTTCAGTTAGTGGTTGAACATCGGTCACTTTCAGAATTTTAGGCGGTTTAGAGCATATTTCATAAGGTTGTTATTTGACCACCATTGTATCTGTAACGAGATAATAAAAAATTTCTTATTTTGATCAGAACAGACAACATATTATATTCAAAATGGAAATCCGAATTTCAACTGTCTTCTTCTGTTCAATTAATCACTTTAGGTAATAATGGGCCTGAAGCAGATGTTCCTTCTGAATGGATCACAAATGGAACACTAGTGGAATATGAAGTTCTCGGGGGTATGTCAAACCTCATTTAATCAGAGATGACTATTTTCTTACTTGAATGCATCACCTCCATTTCATAAAATTGGAAATTTCATGTATGATTTCAGACAGTTATTAAATGATATCAAGCCATCAGTCTCAAATGACGTTACACCAAACAACGACTGACTGTTGAATATTTAAAATCATTAAAGACACATTTTGAATTACAATAGAAGTATTCAGTTTGATGAAATTCACTTAAACAAAATATCGCAAGACGATGGATGAGATGATATCAGTCAGTTAGTTGATTATGCAATCACTAGGAGGTGTTATTTGATTTTCATTTGGTACATGCAACATCGAATTTCACCGAGGAATTGAGATTAAACAAACATTTCATGAAACTGTAATTGCCTTGGAAACAATAGTTTAATTTCCAAAATCTTCACTTCATCCTACTCATTCGATAGATTAAAGGAGTAGAAAGATCACATGTTCAAATTTCAATTTATCATAGTCAGTAAATATTTGTACAGTATCAAAAACACTGAGGGTATTCACAGTATCGAAGCGTTTCCTTTTTCCTGAATACGTACAGTGAATAACCGCAAACATTGTTTTGTTCATCATGTATTAAACTATTGAAATAATATTTCAATAACACAGAGAATCATCCCATAATCTGATGTCGAGATTGACTTCAATATTCGTTGACTAGAATATTATTCATTGTCGACGAATTTTCATGATCCAACTAGTCTAACATGCTAACTGATTACACACAGAGTAGAATGTAGCCACATAGTTTGAAACTTTCTATCATTGTAGGTTAACGGAAATCTCTTCAAGGAAAATCTCAACAATGAATTGAGAACCAATGTCACACTTCCTTTGTTGTTCGAATGAATGAACATAATGCAAAATAAATTTTCTCTCTCAGTACAACTGACGTTCGTGCATCGGCTTCTAAATAGTCAGTTAGAAAGAAATAACAATGTTTTTCTCCATTTTGCATATGAAAACATGGCATACAGGAATCATTTCAATCATAAAGCAGGAACGAGTTTCGTTGACCGTCTAGCGTGTGCATTTCTTTTCTAATATTAACAGTCATTGACATCCGTGACATCCGCCTGACAAATTTCATCGTTCAACATGCAG